GCAACTCACATATCATTGTGATCATGTCATTGTGGCAACAAGAAATATTTGCAAAGTGGCCAAGTTCCTTTCATAAATTCTTTTCGAACAGTGAAAAACTCTACATTTTGAAGGATCTCTAGAATAGTGGCTACACTGGATTAGTGTCTATTTAAAATTTGAATGCGGTGAAAGCACGGAAGAACGTAATTGAAGGCGGAAATATCTGGAATCCGAATGTAGTTGTTTACATTTTACCGCGCGATCTGCATTGGGCACAGACCGATCTGATTGGCTTGATGGCTTTTTGAAAGTGATATGTTAAGACGGCAACTTGCCCACAGGAGAAAACAAGAACAGAAATTTGACAGCTGTTAAGACATATTTGGTAAAAAATTGATACGTGGGGTAATTCGAATGGAAAGCTAAATATGGCATCTCCATATGTCGCTATTGTTTACGCTACGTAGCTCTCTTACGCAATTCTCTTATCAATCTGCGCTCTCTTCCTTGGTAAAAATTAAATAAATTAAAGCAATTAAATAATCGCAATAAAATCGCTTTCAGTCGTTTGAAACAACGCTATCACTTGAAGTGAAAAAATGCTTTTGAATCGTTTGCTTCAACAGGGCAAGATATTTGCAGCTCCCACATTTCGTCAGCTTATTTGCCAACAACAAGAAGCAGTCGTCCGTCGCTCTTTTTTGACAGTTTCGTCATTGCCGGCATCCACTTTTACGGCAGCTGTCAAAAATCCACACATTTCGTTGCAAAAACTAGAAAGTTCGGTTGCAAATTATTCTACTCGACAGTATTCATCGAAAAAACTAGCTATGGAAAAACATTGCGTTGTGCCGGATGTTGTCTCCTGCGCCCCCCAGGAATTGGTAACGGTATGCTACCCGAGTGGCGCTGCAGTCGAGCAAGGAAACGTGTTAACTCCAACCTTGGTGAAGGATCAACCTACTGTAACTTGGAAAGCTGATGCTAATGCATTCTATACGCTATGCATGACAGATCCGGATGCTCCTAGCCGTGACGCTCCTAAATTCCGTGAATGGCATCACTGGTTGGTAGGAAATATTCCCGGAAATGATGTATCCAAAGGAGAGGTAAGTACATAAATTTGTACGTACGTATGTATATTAGGAGTATGAAGGAACATTTTTTCCTTTTGCTTAGGTGCTATCGGCTTATATCGGTTCAGGTCCACCAGAAGGCACTGGCTTGCATCGTTACGTGTTCTTGGTCTATAAACAGAGTGGAAAGTTGACCTTTGATGAGAAACGTTTGCCGAATAACAGTGGTGATGACCGTGGGGGCTTCAAAATAGCTGCATTCGCCAAAAAGTATAATTTGGGCGACCCCATTGCCGGCAACTTCTATCAAGCTGAATACGATGACTATGTGCCCATTTTGTACAAGCAGTTGGGAGCATAAGATTTAAATGCGAATATTGAATCTTACATGTCTACATACATATATTTCAATTTGATTGGAAACAAGCAGCGATTTGGTCCCAAAAGACGATAAAATTGGTTAAAATTAAAATGTCTTTCCTAGAACTGAAACGAAAGTTAATAAAAATCGGAAAAGATCGACGTGCGTTGAATTATTTTGTTAGGGGATGTGAGGATAAAATCTTTCAAATCCACAATTCTTTTGTTTTTTATTTTGTTTATATCGTTTTTCGAAAGTCGAATCGTATCGAAAATTTAACGTCATTGCCTAAAATTTCCACCCGACTAGTGTATTAAAACGAAAAAACTTGGCAGCACTGCATAGTTTTCGACGATTTTCGTCACAACAGTAGACAATGCTAATGTCGGGTCGTACAATTCAGCCTAATTTACGACTTACGCAAGGAGGCTGAATGTTAGAGAGCTTATTTCTGAGCCCGTGTTATCTCTTAGAACTATGGAATATTTTGAGCCGAGACGGGAACATTTAGATCTCCAACAATAACGAAACTAAGGCGAATTTAACTCTATTAACTATTAATTCGGCTTGATCGAAATTTTACAATTTATTAAAGCTAATTCGATTCGAAACAAAACGAAGCTAAAGACAAAAATAAAATTGTACAATTTGGTTTCGGAGAAACCCAAAAACCCCCTTCACATTATTTTTTGACTACAACTCTGTGTACTAACTTCCTTATCATTTGTTTTTGCGGTTAGAGGTTGGAGTATTATGATAGGTTAATTTTGACTGTAAAATTTGGATACGCTTGTTCAGTAGATAACTTATTATATTTAATTCACTTAAAACTGACCAGAGAAATGTCCAAGCCAATAACCTTTGTTACTGGTAACGCCAAAAAGTTGGAGGAACTTGTTGCCATCTTGGGCGATAAGTTTCCGCGCAAAGTTGTTAGCTCGAAAATAGATCTTCCAGAATTACAGGGTGAAATTGATGAGATTGCTGTCAAGAAATGTAAAGAAGCAGCAAAGCAAATAGACGGTCCTGTACTAGTGGAAGACACGTGTTTATGCTTCAATGCTTTGCAAGGTTTGCCGGGTAAGCAATTAATCATTTTTTCATCATACCTTGTATAAACTTTTTTTCGTTAAAATTCACAGGACCTTATATTAAATGGTTTCTTGAAAAGTTGCAACCCGAAGGCCTGCATCGTTTGTTAGCTGGCTGGGATGACAAGAGTGCCAAGGCAATATGCACCTTCAGTTATGCTGAAAGCGCCAATAGTGAACCTATCATTTTTCAGGGCATAACAGAAGGCAGTATAGTTGAACCAAGAGGTTGTCGTGATTTTGGCTGGGATCCGATTTTTCAACCGAAAGGCTACCAACTAACTTATGCAGAAATGCCTAAGGAGGAGAAAAACAAGATATCACATCGTTATCGTGCGCTAGCTGCTTTGCAGGAATATTTTCTACAGCAGAAAGAGGATTAGTACGTGCAGAGGAAGGTCTTAGGACATATATGCACATATGGATATGTGCATGTGTATATATATATATATAAGTTTAAACGTGCATGATTGTATGGTAGTAAAAAAAAGCTAATTATATTACAAAGTAAACAGCCGCACATAATATGTTTTATTGGTCCTAATACGCAAACACTGTTGTACTCTTAAGAACGTAATAACCATTGTTTGCCTTTTAATTTCTTTTATTTTGAAGAGTTCCATCTTCATTCTTCATTAATTGTTTAATTAGCGTACTGAAAATATAAATTTAATGAATTTTTCCTATACCTATGCAAAATAATTGAATTCATTGAAACTGCGGTCTTCATAGTTTACCTTTATTTCCATCAACAAAATTAACACTATTTCAAAATCATTACAAAATTCACGTTTTCTAATTAGACGCTATCTTTTCTATTTTGCAAATTAGTTTCAGCTTCCTTTTAAACAAGGAATCAACGCTAGATTATTATCTCTTTCATTCAGTCAATTTTTTTGCTCCTCGTCTTTTTAGCTGCACCATCAGCCTTCGTTGTAGGTTTGCCGCCTTTATCTTTTCTTCCTTTGGCGGGTTTATTCCAATAGTACAACATTTGGGCAGCAATAACACCATTTGCAAACGTTGAGAAGCAGAATGTTAGAATAATCATTAGATCTCCGGTCTCCTGGGCGGATGTAAAGATACGTGCTAATAAACCAGCAAATAATAAAAATACAGTCGCTGCAGACAACTGACCCGTTGAAGAGTTTTTATAATTGGTCCAGGCTTGTGATAGTTTGCCCAGGAGAAGAATAGGTATATTAAAGCCTTGCGCCACCATCAAAACATTTATAGGTGTGAAGCCGCCATTAAGTACGTATACTATGAGCGCATAGACAATACAAAAAAGGAATGATACAGCTTTTTTACCACCATAGTAAAGAACCAAAGCGGCAATTATTGCAGTTTGGAACGCTAAAAAAGTGCTATCTCCCCAAGCACTAAATGGGTAACCCTTGACATAGTTGTAAGACATATGAGACGTTATAGCAGTTAAATCTAGGAGAACGCTAATCAAGTTGATACCTTCACCGGATTTGTTATTTAACAATTTCTTCACTTGTGGTACTTTAACCAAAAGAGAACCCGCGATAATTCCATAGCCGAGACATTTGCTGAGAAGTTGTTTAAAGCAGATAACTAAATATGGAAATAAAATGTAATTTAATTAACCAGTTGGTGCACATAAATGCTTGAAAAAATTCTTACCATTGAGGAAGTCAAAATCATCCACATAACCGTGAATACATTTATCATTAACGAAATAACTTAAGCCAGATTTTACAAGTTGAGACATTTTGCATTAGTTTCGGCAACGACTTCAGTGGTAATCAGTTCTTCGGGATAGGATTGAGAAATGCTTTGTGTACTGTACTCCGGCGAGACTAGATTGCGCAAAGTTCAATTATTTTAACTAATCAAATGGTGAATTTTTTCTCCCAATCCTAGATAGTATGCGTATCTATTAATCCATTAAGCCATTAAATTTAGATAACACGAAAACCACCCCAATAGGACACGTATTTTGACAATTAGATTAGCGCTGCTTGAAGATTAAGAAATGACATTTGAATCAGGTGGCTATATTGAAATGGCAAAACACACATTAAGCCGGAGCTCCATACCATGTTTTTCAAGCGTTGTGGCACAGGGGTCAAATTTCAGATTACCTTATGAAAACGTCTTATACTAGGTTCACATATAAGTAGATTATCCTCATTTTCGAGCTTAACACCCTAATCTGTAATTATAACAAGAGATTAGCCATATAAAATACGTCCCTTGTTAATCTGTAATTATAAAATAATCTCAGATTTAATCGATAACTTTGCGGTGTCCATCCTAGTTTTATCGATTGTTTTTGCGAAAGAGAGGAGAAATGCCAAATGTAAAAGTAAACAAAAATGTACGCTAGCAAGTAAAAGAGGTTTGTAAAGGTATTTTTAATAAAATGTTAAGTTAAAATATATTTATATTGCTTATTATAGCAGAAAAACGTGATCACGGTGGCACAGAGAAAAACATAAATTTTCCTTGAGATGTGAGAATAACAAGCACAACAAATTTGACGGCTAATAATCTGAGATTTGCCTGTGTAAACGGGGTGATTAAAAAACGAGCTTTGATTGATATAATATTGATATGTGAACATAGTTTTATTAACAGATAGCAATCGGGACCAAAACTTACATATGATATCTTCGACTTTATTAGTATCTATTTAGGGTGTTAAATGNATGTCGTAACAGACTGCAATCGGGACCAAAATTTACATATGATATCTTCGACTTTATTAGTATCTATTTAGGGTGTTAAATGAAGAAAAAAAAATTTCTTTTGAGTCTCTATAGAGGCTTCTGGCCTTTGTCCCTTTGCGGCACGCCTTAACCGACTGCAATCGGCACCAAAATTTATATATGATATATAGATAATCTACGTTCTTTGGTATTCGATTGGTCTTGAATGTAAATGCAGTGGTGTGGAACTCCAGCTTAAAACACTTTGTATTGACAAATTTTTAAGTGGCAACCACATTTCTTATCACTCGGAATATTTATTTTTTTGCAGCTGTCACAGTCACTAAAACATACATTATTTATCATAAATAAAGTTGATTTTATATGCGATTTGTATCATTAAACGATAGTTACCGCGTTTCTATTTGATTATTTAGTTTTGTTTGAATCGAAATATTCTTTAGATTGACTAAAAATGTCAGAAAACATTGAAGCAAGCGGATCGCAACAACAAGCAACAAGCGAAAATACAGAACAAACAAATGGAGGTGGCGACTGTAGAAAAATTGCTTTAATAACCGGCATTACTGGACAGGTAAGTAATCTCTTAAAACTCAGCTACATATATGAAGCAGGGCAGTGTCCAAAGGCATTAGAAAAGTAGCTAAAATTGCTGGATCACATAAGTTTTCTAAATAATTGAATTCGGTAATGAAAATGGTGATGCATGATTCATGCTACTTCGTAGATAAAGTAAACATAAGACATGCTGGCATGTTTTGCCTTCTAGTTTAAATCATGATCAAAATATCATGGTTCAAATTGCTTTGAACACTTGGCTACTTAGTTATGGGTCGTAAAATAAGTTAGGAGCATGCCAGTAAGAACAATTAATTTCTACATAATGTAATTCAAAGCGAGTTTAAGCAAATAGTGCTTTGCTACGAGCTTGAAACCGCGTATAAATAAATAAATCAATAAATAAATATGTATAATGTCTTTCACTTAAGGACGGCTCCTATTTAGCTGAATTCCTTTTGAAGAAAAGCTATGAAGTTCATGGTATAATACGGCGTGCAAGTACATTCAATACATCACGTATTGAGCATCTCTATGCCGATCCGGTAGCACATAAGGGTGGCAAAATGAAACTGCATTATGGTGACATGACAGACAGCAGTAGCTTAGTGAAGATTATCAATATGGTGAAGCCTACGGAAATTTATAATTTAGCTGCACAATCGCATGTGAAAGTATCATTCGATTTGAGCGAATATACAGCCGAAGTTGATGCTATTGGCACGCTGCGCATACTGGATGCCGTACGCACATGCGGTATGGAGAAAACTGTACGTTTCTATCAGGCATCCACTTCAGAGTTGTACGGCAAGGTGGTTGAGACGCCACAAAATGAGCAAACACCTTTTTACCCACGTTCGCCATACGGTAGGTAGATATAATACAATACAATAATTTTTTTTTGTATAAATGTCATGCTATTTTTTCATACTCTTTTCAGCCTGTGCGAAAATGTATGGCTTTTGGATTGTGATTAACTATCGCGAAGCATACGATATGTTTGCCTGCAACGGTATTTTATTCAATCATGAATCACCGCGTCGAGGTGAAAATTTTGTTACACGCAAAATAACTCGGTCAGTTGCGAAAATCTTTCACGGCCAACTGGAATCGTTCGAATTAGGTAATCTTGATTCGAAGCGTGATTGGGGCCACGCCATGGACTACGTAGAGGCTATGTGGATGATGCTACAATGTGAGAAACCAGCTGACTTTGTTATCGCCACTGGCGAAACGCATAGCGTACGAGAATTTGTGGAAGAATCCTTTAAATTTATAGGACGGGAAATTGTTTGGCAGGGTGAAGGAATTAATGAAGTGGGCATCGAGAAGGATACCGGAGTTGTGCGTGTGCGCATTAATCGGAAATACTTCCGTCCAACAGAAGTGGATCTATTGCAAGGTGATGCGAGTAAAGCCCGTCGGCAACTTAATTGGGCGCCAAAAGTTACATTTAAGGAATTGGTTAAAGATATGATGGTTGCCGATATTGAACTTATGAAAAAGAATCCAATTGCCTAAGTAATGATTTTTATATTAGTGATTTTTTTTAGTGACTTTGGCGACAATGCAGGCGCCTTTTTTTAACAAAGCACAACTATATGTAGTTAAGAGATGTTAAGAGGCATAGAACAATGTAATATTATAGATCATAGAGCTGTATGTATTATGTAGTTTTTTTATATAGTTACTCCACCATGACAGTGCTGCATATTATTTTCGTTAGTCGTATTTATGTATAATTTGTAATTATACTTTTATAAAAATGAATGTTTTATATCTTTTGCATTCCAAAGCAAATTATAAATGTATTATGCAATAAATGTGCTTTAAAAACACACGCTATTGAAATAATTTGTTTTCGTATATCAAAAAAAAAAAAAAAAATGATTTAGAACAAAAAAGCGCAGGTGATACTTACGGCACTAAAGGACGACCTTTTAGCAATTTGGAAGCAAGAACAACAATATAGCAATTAAAAGTTTTCGATATTTGTGATCAATTTTATTACAATTACGCAGTTGAGCTATTTCTTGCACTTAACGATAATTGCGCTAAAAATATGTTTTTCCACTCATCAATCTTCTAAATCTGTCAAAACCGAAATACGAGAGTTATGTGGGGACAAACATACCTCCAAACAATTTTCGACACGGAAAAAGCACAATTTTTTTTTTTGAACATCTTTGATGGCTGTTGGTTGACCACATTTTTTTTTTTTGCAATGTAACAAGTCATATGCTTAGCATTTTGTAACTGAATTAATTTTGTAAATATAGATGTTTGCAAAAAAAAGTTAAGTTTAGTAACTGATCTTTTAAGTTTCCTGTTTTTTGCCAAAAGGGTTTATTTTCGACAGCCAACTGGAGCTGGTTGAAGATGGTTCTTCTCTATAAAGGAAAAAAACCAAGAATATTATTAGCATTTGAACTACAAAAACTGTTAAAGCGATTACTCACAACTTAGTCAAACGCTCGATTTCAGCATTTTCATTATCGCTTCCCTTTGTCGCGGCTTTATCGCCAATATGGTTGCCGCTCGCTTCCCGAATGCCAGCGTTTTTTAGTTGTTCGATAAGTTTCATGCGAAATTCCACCTTATGCGGCACAATAGGATTTTCAGCGCGTATTTGTGCTTGCAGCTTACGTATGGCCTCCTGGTAAGTGTGCCCGTACCATTCAATTTCCTCCGCCGTATACTAAAACAAAATTTTGATTACTAATTGAAATTTAATATTCAGGGCCATTACTTACCGAGTCCAAATAGCATTTATATTCTTTGAGTATACGCTCACGCTCGGTTGGATTGCCTGTCCAATTGGGACAACCGTTCTTTAGTTCGAGTAGAATTTTTCGCTTAATCGCTAGGGCAAGTGTGGAACGTAAATCACACGCAAGATTCTAAAATCAATAGAAATTTCAAATGAAATCAATTAACTCAAAGCACTGCTGAAGTATAATGCAATCGTTTTAATACACACCTTTAGTAGATAGTGATCAAAACCGCGACAATCATGTATTTGATCAATGGTACGATCAGTTACCACCATTGAAATATACTCGTTCAACACTTGACTGTGCACCACCGAGCGCCTTAGCGTTGGTATCCAAAAATGTGGTACACGCCTTTTTTGCGGATGGCGCTTTTGGAAACCCTTGATGACAGCTTCTCCTCCCCAGATGCCATCATTTGCTTCGGGGGGATCAATTAATGGTATAGGTATATCTTGCACAGGTCTCACTACACCTGTTAATTCATCACGTTCAAATCCTTCAGTTTTTGGCACATAATGGACTGCAGCAGGTGTCGTTAACTTCCATTCGCGCCAGAATTTCTTATAGGCTTCAGGCAGCTGTGCACCAAGCCCTTTATCGAAACGGGTTAAACGTTTGAAGCCGTGAAGCAATTGGGGTCCCTACAAATTCTCAGTAAAATTACTAATTATGAATTTTGCATAAAAAAGTTCGATACAAAACTAAAAGGGAAAAAGCACTCTACACCTGAGCGAATCTAGTCAACACGGATGGGGCAAACAATTGACTTTATTTCTTTTTGTATTGCGTCACAATGCCATGGATGGCGGTGTACCTTACCTGCGGTGTGGCGTGTGCCATGCCTAATTTTGAAAATTACGGCGGTAAATTTTCTTCGTTTTTTCGTTATCTCTTCCAAAATAACTATTCTTGAAATTAATGTGCGAAACAAATTTGTGTACGTTAAAAACAAAATTCCTTGAAATAAATTTTTAATTTTGAACTCCAATTCCGATTGAAAGTGTAGAAGATAAACGCAAATCACGTTTTGACAATTCGCTTTCCACGCTCACAGCTGATTAAATAATGGCGAACAGCTGTGCTACGACAGGGTTGCAATAAGAACCAATTCATGATTAATAAAATAAATTGTTAGTTTTGAAGGCCGCGATTTCCTAAGATTTATAATGATGAAATTGAGGGTTCAAAATAGTTACGAGTATCAGTACATTTATTCTGTTCAACTATCTTTAAAGATACTTTAGAACGTGTGCTTCCGTTTCACAACACTGTGCGGAACAGAGATGTGTTTCGGATGGCGTAAGAAACTTTGATTGTTTCCGCTTTAGTTAACATTTCCTTCTTTATTTATTTAAAAGAAATAAAGCCTTACTGCCAAGTCCTTTCACTGTTTAGTCCAACGCACAGCCCACATCTTATAAGTTGCGATCCCGTACGAGTCCGGACTAGTCAGAAATAGTCAGAATCGGTCAAATTTTACTGGAAATCGATCCCGTACTCGGTCCTCTGACTATTGAATTTGAAAGTATTTTTGGTTATTTACATGTGTGAGCTGAGTGTGTTAACATACAAAATAAGCAAAAATTTACAACCAAAATTTGGAGGTTATGTTGAAGTTGACAGAAGTTACCATTTTTTACTAGAAATCGATCCCGTACTTTTCAATGTTAAGCCCTGTATGCAGCTCTCAAGAAAACGTTCAAGAAAAAATTGCCATTATTTCGTGTGTGTGCCCAAGGAATTTTGACATTTTTGATACTTCACAGCCTGTTGCCTCACTCTTTCATCAAGAAATAATGGAACGGGCATATATTTCTGTTGCAAACCTGGGTTGCCTTGTGCTCTTTTTTCTCAAAAAACTTTAGAAAACCGTAGTAGAAAGCGTAGTAAATTCCTTAAGAACTGCGTACTGCCCTAAGGAAATTTGACTCAAGAAAATTTCTTAGCCATTTCTTGTACGTCATTTTATATGGAGTTTTTGCTTTTCTTGAGATCTTCATACAGACCTTTACTCTCTCGCTCTGAGCGAATTTTTATTTTTTAACAGTTTTACTTCCCTACCAGAAATCTCACTGGCAAATGACCGGTCCCTTGACGGACAGTGCTGATGCAATAATGCTGCAAAAGAAGTCCTTTTCTTGTAGGGTAGATACGATTAGAAAGGAAGGTCACTCATACGCCGTGTATCGTACATGTTCGTAGACACTCATCAGTTTTCTTGAAAATTTTTACACTTTTTCAGATTTATAGATTCTGGGTTTGTTATGAACATAACAAAACGTTGCAAATGTCATATTTTGTTTTTGCATACCCCAGGATATTTAGATTAAATCTGTGTTCGTATGGAATAGTAGCTTATGTCGGGAAGCTAGCTTTAAGTATAACGCGCCATTCCCTTTATTCTTTAAACGACAAGAAATTCTTTGATGAGACTTAATAAGAACACTGACTTGCTAGCATCGGAACTATTTCTGCACGTTTTTTAGCCAAAAGTTCTACAACGGCTCGGCGCCAGCAAGTCATTCACAATCGAATGCTGCGAATGCCGCATTATACTAAAGCCAGCCTTTTGTCATACGCTACTGTTCCATACGAACACAGAAATAAGCTTATTGTTTTAATTGCAGTTTACCTGCAGTACAAGCCCTTGCAAGCGACTGCGATAGAATAGCAAAGTATCAGGGCGATAGTTGAGTGTTCCTAAATCATCTAGACTAGAAATTGCACTAGGTCTATCATATGAGAATACATGTTCTCACAGTGTCTTGGACGCTTCTAGCAGACAATATCTTGACTTGGCTAATCAATGCAGGTGCTAAGTAGATTTTCCATGGTGCGTTTACCTTGGGATGAGAAGCCTGAGAAGATTAAACATGACGGACGCATAATTGGATTTTCTCGAAGCCTGGACTTTACCAAAGAAATTTCTAACTGAGCTAATTACTGCTGGGTTCGGGGTGATTTCCGAATCCGATTTTCAATTTCATATACCCGTAAAGGCTGTGTTGTACGAAATCGTGTCTCGAGTAAACAGTTTCGGTGCTACATTAGGGACTGTATGGAAATTGTGATTGATACTTCTACAGTTCATTGGACGGAAGCTGTCCAGAATTACTGCGCCTCGATAGTTTTCCTTGTCTGAAACTAGACGGAACAAAGCAAATATGACCAGCGCTTGTCCAAAATCGAGATTTGTTTTCGGCTGAGATGCTATACTTGGTAAAAAAAATTGTTAGGTGGTAAACAAACATAGAATAATCATATTAAAAAAGTGGGGAAAATTTTTCTATAAAAAAATGGTCGAAACGCACACTAAATCTTTATGCGATCAAACATTTGTAAAAAATTTCGGTTTGGTTAATGGTTCAGTTAATTAGTGGGAAAGAGCGATTTATCCGGTTCGAAATCGGTGCACTTCTCTGCTTTCCAGGCTGCGTAAAAAGTCGCCGGGTAAATAGGCTCTGTGTTATTTTGATTATAAAATCCATGAATCAAAAATTTAACGGTAAATCCGCTGAGCGGCAGCCTATTTATTTAAAGTCTCTGTTTGAAAAAAAAACCTTTTTATGGTTTAATTATTTATTATTTCTATTTACACTTTTTAAGGCATTTACGTTCATAAAATTTAAATTTATCGCAATAAAACTACATTTATATATAGCACATTTAAAAAGTTAACATTCGCAATTTTGATTTTGAGTACAAAACATAGATTTTGAGTAAAAGTAGTCGTACAAGTGTATATACAATTCAATTAGTCACTAAATATTATAGCTTAATTTATACTACAATGCATTTATTCTAAACTAGTAGTAGTACATATAAAAAGTAGTATTTTGTTTTCTTGATAAATAGTTAGACAAAAACTTAACTGTACTACATATGTATGTATGTAGATATGAATATTATCGTACAACGTTGATTTTTTCGGCGTTATTAAGTAGAAAAGCATTAAAAATATACACCTTTCTGGTTTCTATTAACATTAAGGACCGTTTTTGCAGTGGAGTGTTAACTAATATTCGGCAGTTTACTGTAGTTTTTTTTAGTAGGAAAAATTCTAGTTGACTGAAGAGTTGTGAGTTAACTCTTCACTGCAAAAAACGGCAGTAATAGAAATGCATACAATACAGTGGAACCTCGATTTTAGGAAATTGAAGAGGTTGGAAAAATGCTTCGTTATATTTATAGAATTTCACATCTTTGATACAACGAAAAATGCAAAATTTTGAAAAAAAACGTTAAAACCATGGCAACCAAAAGTGAAACGTGATCCACTGCCATTGCTGTCACATCTGTTGATATACTGTGTACCACATATCTAAATTATTTTAAGAATTCGAATGCAATTCTCTATATTAAAAAAGTTTAGAACTTTGAGTTTGTATTACAATTTTTAGTTCACGATTTTAAAGTACATAGTAATTTTTAGATCTAAAATAAAAGCTTTGGTGGCACTTGCAAGCACTTTTTGTTTACATAAAATACATAAAAATACATTTGCACTTACTATTTTTCATCGATTTATGGCTATGTATGTATAACTCGTAAGTTTTCAATGAACTTTGATAAATTACATAGGCACCCAAACAGAAAGTTTTGACCTAGGCACTATGTCGGTGTATTTAAATAAACATACATACTTTTCCCCACTGAATTGGAGACTGCAGTCAGAATTACCCGATTGTACTATGGAAGATTTTGATACATTTTTGTGCCAAAAAGTAATTATGACGAAATAAAATAAATTTCTTTGGCCGATGGGTTTAAGGGGTTCACTTTTTAATTTGTGCATTTTATTGAACAAGTTTGAATGCAGTTTATTTTCTAAATATTGGTATTAAAAATTTGTATTGAAAAAAATTCCACTTAAATATAAAAATTATTTACACGGTGGCTATTTTTGTAAAATACATATCGCAGGTCTGAAACAAAGAGACGTAAACGCAGCATTTTCCAGTTTAGGAAAAGAAGCTGAAGAGTCGGGAAAAAATCCCACAAAATACCCACAAAATGCTTAACGAATTAAAAACATATATTTCAGTAGTAAAAAAGTAACATTCATATTGTTATGTTAATATATATAAATATACATATAATATCTTTTTTTTGAAATTCAAAGGTTGCTAGATTGCGCATTAAAGGCCTAAAATAATTTAAAAACACCCACAAAAAAGATATTTTCTCAGAATTCGCAAAAACCGCAACATGAAATTGACGAATTCAACTCAAAAATCTTTACTTTACACGTTCTCGATCCTCTAAATACGACTAATGCTGGACTTCCACTACTTATTAAATGGCAGAAATGACAAAATCGGGCATTAAAAAATAATCGTGTCATTACATAAAATCGATTTCAATATTGCACTAATAAATAGACAACGACTTTGACCACCTGCTAAGCAGTCGTTCGTTTTTTTTTCTAAAAATAATAAGAAACACCGTTATTTGGTTTGAAGTTTTCTTTATCAAATACCAATAGCAAAAAGTTTATTTTTTTAAGTACGAAAAACGACTTATTGACACAAAAACTGATAAAAATACCCATGGTGGTAAAAATTTATGAGATAACCTCAAAACACTGCTCAAAACACAAATACTCGTAAGACAACATTTTTTTTTTGGGGGTTAAATATCTCATAAACTTGCAGCAATTTGGCGATTCTGACTGACTTCAAATTCGGTTTCAGCGGAAAAAAGTTCATTGAAATACGTACGTACATATGTATGTATTTTGTATGCCTGTGTTTTAGATCTGTTAAAATCTAACTCAGGAATCAAACGCACATTTTCGTAAGCGTACGCCAGTTAAAGTCCACTTTAAAGTCAACTTTATTTATACTTAATGTAATGTAAATCCATTAACTATACTCTAGGTGAAACTCTGCTATCTTCTTCACTTATTCTCCACATCCTTGGAAACAGTCTTTAATATTTGATAACTTGGATTTGAAAATGCTTCAGCTGTTCGCGCGCCATTCGTGTTGCTTAGCTTTTTTGGTGACGACTTAACATTCACATAATTATCACTGCCCGTCGTCAACTCGGTTTCGGCAATGTGATGTCGCGGTGATGGTGTGGGCGTGTGGGCGTGGGCACGTATCTGTTGTTGTAATATATTCTTAACGAATTTTCGTCCTTGCTCGGGACTTCCCTCACCATCATCAGAACTATGATGTGCACCCGGCAGCATTGGTATCTCTTCCGGTTGGATAATTTCCTTCTTACGATGCTTATTCACTGGACTATCAAGATTATTTACGAGCGTTGGTGAATGTTGTGATGATGGTGGTGGCGATGGTGTTGGTGTTGGTGCTATTTTATCTGGGAAAGTGAAAGAAGTAGTTGTTGTTGTATTTGGTTCATCACTTGACTGATTGTCGTCGTGATCTTTTGGACGTGTCGGCGAGAAAATGGTTGTGCCTGTTTCGATGCTCATATTTAAGTAATCATCGGATGAGGATGGCTGAATACCTGAGTGAAATCGTACATATGTGGGAAGGACAAACGCACAGACGGCACAGACGCATGGAAGCAAGAGAGGAGGTAGTAGTGTAGGGTTATTTGCATGAAATTGTTGATAGGTATGTACATACATACACACATACATACATACATATCGCTAGCTTAGTGTGATAGGCTGCTAAGTCCACATTTACCAATTTTACAGAAAAGGGAAAACACTTCTTTCTATAGCCGCTTTTTCTTCAAGTACTTCACAAAACTTTGAATATGTAAAACATTTTGCATGTTTAATACAAAGCGAAACTCCATTACAATCAGTAGGATTTGGTAAAATATTTGGTGTTATTTTGGCAGTTGGCCTTTCATTGAATATAAACGAAAAAAAAAAAAAATCAAACAAGTACTTTAATCCCTTTCGAAACGATGAACGATGTATTTTTAATTTCTCTTGCTTCCTTCACTGAGAAAAGAGTTTAGGTCAACTTAATATGTTTTTCCCAATACATTATTTGGTTATAGTTACATTATTTGGTTATAGTAAGCAAATCATGTGTTGAGAGAAATATGTATATTTGGCAGACTTTTTTCTGCGTGTATATCAAAACATGAGTTTTCATAAAAAGTGGACTTAAGAACTTTTCGCTCTAAGCTAGCGATATGTAGATACATTATATAGATATAAAAGCGTATATGTACATAATACATAGTATGTAAGTACTAGTTGGTTAGAGTAAAATAACTTTAGATGTGTGCAGATCAGTTAAGTGTTGAGTAGGTGATATATTAGCAAGCATATTTGTGGAATTTTGGCAAAACAATTTATCTCGACATTGGTCCCTTTTTTTGGTAAATCACTAATCACCTATGGCTATCTAAAATATTAACTAACCATATTAAAAAAAAATACAATAATAAAATATTGTTACTACAAATTTGTTCAAAATCAGTCGAAAAACTTGTTTTCTCAAAAGTCCTCAGATATGCATGCAAAATGATATATGCATATATATCTATTTATTTAAGTTTTAATTTTTATTTTCTTTTTATATATTTCTTTTATTTAAAGCTTTGAAGCAGTCGAATTTTCAGCAAAAGCAACTACATGTACATACATATATTGAATGTAATACTTACGTATTTCTGGTAGTATGTGTCCATTTACATAGCGTGGTGCCGCTGGTGCCACTTCATCTGGCGATCCCATCAGCGATAGGTAATCGGTTGGATTGCGATTTACATTTTCGTTGTTGGCGCGCAAGTATGTATCATTCAAATCCACATAGTGCTGAGGGAGTAGTTCATTTTTAGTTAATAACTTGTTTGTAACGGTAAAGTTTAGAATTGTAGTTAATGTAATAGCTAATAGGTTAAGTTAGGTTAAGGTGGCTTCCGCCTATATCTATATGAGGCTCACTTGGAGTATAAAACATCAGTCCCTTATGTTACTAAAATCTATTTAACGGTAACTGCTCTTCTATCACGATAAAACGATGTTAGCCGTGAACGGAGTTTCGTTAAAAAGAGCGATCCAAGGTGTTAAGTGTTGAAATAATACCAACCTGGTAGTTTTTGACAACTATCAATACGCGAATGCAGTGTCCTGTCAAAACATTTACCAGAATTATGTACTGCGGCTTTGTAAGGCTAAGGATATACCTTGACCATCGGACCCACGGCCAGTAAGACCTTCGGCTTTCGCTTGTTCTAGTTTTGATCCTGCTAAAGAATATTAGTCTTCTCACACGAATGCTAACGGGACACTTGAAAATATACCACTGGGTTGCTAGGTTCGGAGCCCGACAGAAAGATCTCTGCGGATGTGGAAGAGATAAGCAAAATGTAGAAACTTCGCACTCCGGAGAAAGCGCTTCTAATTTTTTAGGGATAACTTCATCGAAATCTTAGACGCCTGAGGGAAAAGCCTTTAAGGGTTTGCTAGAATTCGTAGAAAATCTGATATGAGGAAACGTGGCCTCCGACTGATTCCTGCCCGTCTAACCTAACCTAATCCAACCTACTTAGCTTAGCTTTGCCGCTATATTCAGCGAACGACATTCGGACTAGGGGATATAAAAAAAAATCTTGTATTTTACTTACATTTGTCACATCATCGCCTAGCATGCGCGCAAAATACTTCTCCAGCACATGGAATAGTGGACGACACTCCGGATTCGTACTCCAACATTCCAACATAATATCATATAGCTCATCATTGGCGAATGGTGGTTTTTCCATGCGATAACCATCCTTCAATTTTAAATACAAACTCTGATTTGGATCCATACCGGGGTAGGGGACCTTCGCCAACGAGAAGAACTCCCACAAAACAATACCAAATGACCAAACATCAGTGTAGGTGCTAAACACATGATCACTAAGCGATTCCAAAGCTAGCCATTTAATGGGCAAGGGCGCTTCACCTTGCTTCTTATAGTTTTCGCTTTTATACATGGAGCGTGCTAAGCCAAAATCGCATATTTTCACCACATTATTCTCGCATAGTAGAATATTACGTGCAGCCAAATCGCCGTGCAATACTTTACGTGACGATAAATAGTCCATGCCGCGCGCCACTTGAAAGGCCCAACTAACCAAATCGGTTGTGGTAACAGTCATGGCTTCTGTGCTATCAGGTTTGTAGTTGGAACGCCATGCAGGCTGTACGGAATTATTGGAGAGAACATGATCTTCGTCTGAAAGGGTAATGGAAAAATTTTATAGGTGGAAAAAAATTAAACAAAAAGACTTTCTGGAACATATACTTGTTGTGTATCTAGGTATGTGTGTATGTACATATGTATCTATGTACATTAGACCGTGGCAGAAAAAAAAATTCGCCGTACCTCCCTTTAGTCTAAAGTATTTTTGCAAGGCAATTTCAAAAAAATATTTTTTTAATTTTTCGTTATATCTTCGCCATTTACAGTCTCTCCAAAAGTCATTAAACTTTTGCTAAGGAAGTTTTTTGATTATTCCGGTAGAACTATTTAACCCTTTCAGGACCAATAAAATTATTCCACTCATAAAGAAATTGTGTGAGTTTCTTTATTTTTAGAATGGGCCTCATATTTAATGAGTTATTTTTATAAAGAAGTTTTACAAAAATATATTTCTACCAAAATAAGAAAAATGTATCGAAATCAGATTTTCTTGCAAAAACTGAACTTTTTAGAAGAAAACGTTTATTTAGAGAAAAAATAATAATAAAAAAATATAATTTGGGGAAAAAATAGTTTTTGGTAAAAAGAAAATATGTTTACCCTAATCAGAAAAAATTTAACAAATATTAGAAACAAATATTGATTGGGGAAAAAATATTAATTGATTTTATTCGTTAATTTTGAGCTCCAGGCCGGTTATTAAATAAAACATAGATTTTGGTAGTTTTATTTATTACATTTATTGCTGTCGATATTTCGCCTTCCTGAAGATGCCTTCAGATTGAAGGCGAAATATCGACAGCAATAAATGTAATAAATAAAACTACCAAAATCTATGTTTTATTTAATAACCGGCCTGGAGCTCAAAATTAACGAATACATTAATTAATTTTTTTATTTCGGGGAAAAACTTTTTGGAAATAAAAATTTAACAAAAAATTCGAATTGTTCAGGAATAAAATTTTAGGGAAATAAATATTATACAGAAAAATCTTTTTCGACGAAAATCTATATTTTGAAGAGTTTTCACGAATATAATAATCTAATCAAATTCTGAAAAAAAGTATCAAAAAAACTTTGCTCGGAAAATGTTAATAGTTTTTTAAGAAATTTTCCTTTGAGAACAAATTATGTTCATGAAAAACCATTATTAAGGAAAAAATATATGTCTACCCAAATTAGAAAGAGTATACCAAACGTTAAAAGAAAATATTTTTGAAAATAAAAGTTGTAAAAAAGATTTTTTTACGAAAATCATTTTAAGGAAACATAATTTAGGAAAAAAAATTTGTTAGGAGAAAATGTGTTAACTTAATCAGAAAACAAAGTATCAAGCATTAGAATCAAAGATTTTTTGGAGAAAAAAATATTTTTGGGCTAAAAAATTTTTGTTTCGGAAAAAATTATTTTTGATAATGCATAAGTATTGTTTTTGGAAATAAATCAATTTATTTTAAGATTGTTTACGAAAAAATAGTATAGAAAAAGATTATTCAGATATATTATCTTATACATATTAAAAAAATTTAACTTTTTTATGAAACAAAATTATTTATTTAGAATAATCACTTCCAAGGAAGAAGTTCTTTAAAATCAACGACAAAAAGATTTTGGAAAAAGTTATGAGATTAATGCAAATTTCTTATAATTCTTTGCGTTCCAAAAAATGTGTTTATAATAAATCGGCCTCTAGCTAAACAAAAAATGGTTAACATAGTTTTTAGTTGAAATTAATGGTAATTTTTAGTAGAAAATAATTTTTTTGTTGAATTTTTATTAAATTACTTGGCCTTCGATGAATAACATTTTACATTCAAATCTTGAGCTTTTTCAATTATAGGTGTATGGTGCTAAGAGGGTTGGTTACAAAAAAAAAATTATTGTCGAATTGAAAAAAAAAAAAAA